GAAGCTATATTCCATAGAACTAGTCAATCTGAGGAACAAAAGCTGAGCGACCTCTTTAATAACTTGAGCTTGGGACAAAGTAAACAAAGTTAGGAAGTAATACAATGTCTGACACAGTGTTAAGACAGCTTTGGTTGGACAAACTTCACGTGAACACCATCCAAATTTTGGCTTCCCTCCCAGACGAAATTGAACTACAAAAACTAGCTGAAATAGCTGATAAAATAGCTGATAACCAGCCAGTTAGTCCTGTGTATGCTGCGACCCAGAGACAGCCAGTAGCATCGGTGGTTGACGCAGACGACATGCGTAGACTTAGTGACAGGTTAGCACAACTTTCTATTCAGGTACAGGATTTTCAGAAGTCCATGCAACAACAGAAATGCAACTTCACTAATCGAACTCCTCCTGAATCACGACGAAGTAGACACAGATCGTTGTCACGAAATAGGGAAAACTATCAGGACAACGTATGTTGGTATCATGCTAAATTTGCCCACCAGGCACATAAATACCGTAAACCTTGCAGGTTTAGCGCGAATTTCTTTGGCAGAAGATCGACACAGCAAGCGGGAAACGACGTTCCCGGCAGCAAGTGAAGACGGCGTTCGCTACCGGGGAAAAATATTAACCGTCTTTTTTATGTTAAGGACGCCAATTCTGGTTACCTATTCTTAGTTGACATGGGCGCACAGGTTAGTGTGATTCCGCCTACAACAAACATAGCGACCAAAGCTACATCATACAACCTCCAAGCTGCCAACGGTTCTCGAATAGAAACCTATGGTGAAAAATCACTTACATTAAACCTGGTATTACGTAGATCATTTACTTGGGTATTTACCATCGCGCAAGTAAAGTCACCAATTCTAGGAGCTTATTTCCTGGCCCATTTTAAACTCAACGTGAACATGTCTTCCCTATCCTTAAAAGATAAATATACCGATTTTGCAATTAAGGGAATTACTTCAAAATTGACAACGGCAGGTATCAGTACATCCCTACCCATTGCCAACGGTCTTCAACATTTATTACGGAAATATCCAGAAATTCTGACACTGTTCAACTATATGGAACCAATCTTACTCAATGCGGAACACAGGATACAGACTACTGGTCTTCCTGTGCATTCACCTCCGCGGCGTTTACATCCCGATAAATATAAAAATGCTAAGATTGAGTTTCAGCATCTGTTGGACTTAGGGATAATCCGTCCATCATCCATCCCATACGCTTCTCCTTTGCATATGGTGTCGAAATCGGAAGCTGGAGCTTGGAGACCATGCGGTGATTTTTGGCGACTTAATGCTCAAACAGTCCCGGACAAATATCCGATCCCGCATCTACAAGATTTTGCAATAACGTTACAAGGAGCATCAATTTTTACAAAGTTGGACTTGAGAAAGGCTTTTCATCAAATCCCTGTGGCAAAAGACGACATCCGCAAAACTGCTGTGACTACACCGTTTGGTTTATTCGAGTTTACTAGAATGCCCTTCGGTCTAAGAAATGCAGCACAGTCCTTCCAGCGACTTATAGACGAAGTACTGCGTGGCTTGCATTTCACATTCGCCTATATTGACGATGTTCTGATTGCGAGTAGGAGCATCGAAGAACACACCGATCACGTGGAACAGGTTTTCCGGCGATTGAAGCACTTCGGACTTAAAATTAATCCTACTAAGTGTGAGTTTGCTGTACCGAAGCTGATCTTTCTTGGTCATGAGATAGATGGGAAGGGGATTACACCCGTCTCTCATAAGGTCGAAGATATTCAAAACTTCCCACAACCAACTACACTTCGACAGCTACGTAGATTTCTTGGTTTAGTAAACTATTACAGGCAATTCATACCTCATTGTTCGCAAGTTCTGATTCCGTTGACAAACCTGTTACAAAATCAAAGAAGAACAGCAAGATTATTCTAACTGACGATGCACTATCAGCATTTAATAATGCCAAGGAAGCCCTGGCTAATTATACCAAACTATCTTACGTTTCGGATAGTGAAGAAGCGACATTTACTCTTACTACTGACGCATCTGCTGATAGTGTAGGAGCCGTATTACACCAGGAGAGTGATAACGTGAAGAAACCACTTTCATTCTTTTCCGTGAAATTGAATTCAGCACAACGAAAATATAGTGCTTTTTCACGGGAACTGCTGACTATATATCTATCTATTCGTCATTTCCAACATCTGCTAGAGGGCAGGAATTTTATAATTTTCACTAACCACAAACCTTTAGTGTATGCCTTGCATTCTAAAACAGATAAGTATAACCCTCGTGACATAAGACAGCTGGACTACATCGCACAGTTTACGTCCGATATTCGTCACATTAACGGGAACGACAACATCGTTGCTGACAACCTTTCTAGAGCTACTATGAATTCTGTCAAGTTACAGCCATTAGATTTTGAATATTTAGCCAGAGAACAGCAGAGGGATGCCACCCTAGAAAAATTGAAAAGTGACACGTCACTGCTCATTGAGCAACGACCAATTCCTTTCAGTGCGGCATACTTGTTTTGTGACGTTAGCACTAATAATCCTAGACCCTACGTGCCCCCTATTATGCGCAGACAAATTTTCGACCATTTTCATTCTATGTCACATCCAGGCCGTAAAGCGTCAACGAAACTTATTTCTGAGCGATTTGTCTGGCCAAACATGTCTGCAGACATAAAAAACTGGACGCAGACATGTATTAAATGCCAGAAGTCGAAAGTTCAACAACACACCAGATCTCCTCCTGGTCACTTTTCTGCACCGGATGGTCGATTTAAACATATTCACGTCGGCCTCGTCGGTCCCTTAATGGAAGTAGACGGATACGAATACTTGTTGACAATAGTGGAGTGTTTCACACGTTGGCCATTGGTGGTACCCCTGCGATCAACCACCGCCAGTGTCATCGCACAAATGATCGTACGTGAGTGGATAGCCACATTTGGATGCCCGTCTGTCATTACTACAGATCGTGGACCCCAATTCCAGTCTACGCTCTTCGCTGAATTTACTAACCTGTTGGTTACTAAACATATAACAACTACAGCTTACCATCCGTGCAAAAACGGTTTGGTAGAAAGGTTTCACAGGCAACTAAATGCAGCACTTAAAGCTAAAAGAAGACACACGATCGTGGATTGAAAGATTACCATTAGTAATGCTAGCACTGCGTAGTGTTGTCAAGGAAGATTTAAAATGCACCACAGCTGAGCTTGTTTTTGGGAGCCCACTTACACTCCCCGGTCAAATGATGGAAAAAGATGTGTCGACAAGACCATCTACATACTTCATTCAGGACTTGAAAGAACGTATGTTCAACCTCGTATTTACCCCAACGCGCACATCAAATAGAGCAATTTTCGTACCGAAAACTTTGGAAAACTGTGAGTTTGTATTTCTACGCAGAGATACAGTTAAAAAAAACTCTCACACCGACATACTCCGGTCCTTTCCAAGTTATTTCCCGTGCACCGAAATATTTTACCATCTTAATCAATAATAAGACAAACACTGTCAGCATTGACAGATTGAAACCTGCTTTCATTGATGCCGATAAACATTCTTTGACATCGTTTGATCAAAATTCTTCCGCCCAGCAGAAGGGTTTTCGACCTGAAACTCCTCCGAAAAAGACTAGAACTAGATCAGGCAGACATGTTCATTGGCCTACAAAATTTGCGAAGTATCATACATATTGAAATTTTTTTCTTCTTTTCAAACTTTCAATTTGGGGGTGGAGTATTTTAGCTGTCCGCTACCACTTTTTCGCAAATGTCGATTTTCGTGCAGAAAGCGGATCACATCTTCATAAATGTTTCTGAAAACCTGAACTTCTCATTGGACAATAAATATTAAAATTATCTCGTATATCTTCACGTACATTGTTCTCAATAAGCAACACAAAACATATCAGGCTCCAGACTGAGTTTTGTAAGGTGCTTTCTGAGTAGTTAACAAATATTAAAAAAACAATTTACCTGCTCACCACTACGTCCAAATAACATCAACCTAGTTTTTGACCTGACGAAAAAACAATGCTCTCAGGATCCAATCACGTGATTAAAAACATATAAATTGAAGGTACGAGCGAACCCAGTCAGTGAGAATTTACGATGACTAGCATTTACTAAACGAGTTCACGACACTTGTATCATTACTGCAGCGAAGTACTAAGTTAGAATCTCAAGTTCTTTAACACGAAATAACTTTGCTGTAATTCAAGCTAAAATATCAACGAAACAACTCACTCACCAACTTCTGCAACATACTAAAACTATTCAATCACGTTATTAAATCTTACGAAACAAGTTAAGTACAAACAATTACGAACAATACTTCAACTACAGCGATCATCTGCAACGATCGACATCAACTTCAACTACAGCGATCATCTGCAACGACCAGCAGCGACCATATGCAACGACCAGCAGCAATCACCTGTAACGATACCTGTAACAACCAACCTTGACCATCAATGCCTGCACCGGAACGTATGCATCTCTACTGTTCCGACCACCTTTATTTCTTTATTACTTTTCTAGAATAAATTAACTTATATCCTATATATCCTCATTCTGTCATGTATGTTGTTTCACCTTGTCAGATTTAATGTCTTCGAAAATGCTAGCGGGCCTCTTGTGACCTCATCACCCTTTTGTGATACAGGGGTGCTCGAGGGGTCTGCTATAAACTGAAAGTTTAGTTTGAAAACTAGAAAATATGTTTAGGAACTGAAGGTTTTCTTTGGGAACTGAAAGTTGTATTTGGGATTTGAGATTTTAGTTTGGGAACTGGAAGATGTCTTTAAGAACTGAAAGTTGTGTTTTGGAATTGGGAGTTTTTTTAGATAATTTGAAGTTTAGTTTGACAAATTCAAATTTGGTGCAGTGTAGATGTAGCATCAATCTGAAATGATGTAACATTGAAGATTTAAAATAATATTTTTAAGACATTAACTCCTTTGATGGATAATACAAATTAGAATTACCTGAATTTAAATTGATGTCATCTATCGTAGCATATTCTGACCCAGCAGGCACTTCATGTACTGCAATTAATAAGAAAAAGAAGCATATGCATGTTAACTTTTCATACAAAATTGACAAAATGAATTAAAATGAAACAAATACTAAATTTGTGTCTTTATCTGTCATATTAGTGCAGTGTCACACTGATCCAAGAAGGAGAACTCTTGCTTGAAATCCAGGTTTGAATCTCAACATGTCCGATCTGGGAGATTACTTCTTGATTATATTGACCTGGATGAGGAAGTGATCTCAGTGTTCTTTCTTTGGAAAGTACCTGAAAAACCATAATATGGTTAACCTTAGCCTTGTGTAGATGTAACTGTTCAGGAGCCATCAATAGTTATGCTAGGGTTTGAGCATGCTGACTTTGTTCAAGAAATTGTTTACTCTAGATTATGATCTCTCTCCTAGTAACTATGGTCTGCTCAGGCTCAGCGTAGTTGCAGTATAAGCCACTTTAGTCTACAGATAGAGAAAGGAAACTGCAACAACTGCTACAGAATGTAGTGAAAAGACAAAACCTTAATTGCAAGAAGACAAAATGTAGAATGATTGTTAGCAAAAGGAATAGTTCAAAATACAAATTGGAGATACCAAAATCCAACAGGTACAACAATTTAAATATATAGGAATTGTTTTAATAGAGGATGGAAAGTACAACATCAAAATCCAAAGGTGCATTGGGATAGTGAAATTTACCTTCCAAAAGAACCACAAAATATTAAGAAACAGAAAAATTTTGTTAGAAACAGAATAGAGTACTGAACTGTCATATAATATCAATCCTCCTATATGATAGTGAATGCTGGGCAATTTCCTCAAAGACGAAGAAGAGACTTGAAGTGACAGAAATGTAGTTCTACATAAGGAAGCTGAGAATACCATGGACCAAACATGTGATCAACAACAAAGTTTTAGTTAAAACGGAAACAAAAAAGATACTTATACTTAACATCAGGAAGAGATAGTTAAATTTTTTAGGACAGTTAATGAAGAAAGAGAGCTTGGAAAATTTGATACTTACAGGACATATTGAAGGCAAGAGGGATAGAGAAAAACAGCTCATAGCCTACCTAACAAGCTTGCATAAATAAATGTCAGAACAGGGTTTAAGAGAGATAACAAAAATACAAAATTTAATAAGAGCTACATAGGACAGGAAATTGTGGAGAGCCATGATTGGCAGTGTCCTGAATGGATACGAAACAGAAAAAGAAGACAGGTAATTTTTTATTAAAAAAATAATATTCCTACCTTCTGATCTTGTTTTTTTCTTACATTTTCTGAAATAGCAGAATAAAAATTATATTGTAAGACATTATTCATGCATTTGAACTGAACTAATTAAAGATAGAATAATAACAAATTATGAATCTTTAAAAAATTGATAAAGGCAATGGATGATTTGTATATGTTGAATTACACAGAGAAAATAAGTCTACTTTTAATAACTTGTCATGGTTCAAGTTTGAGGTTACATACAAATTATGCTGAACCAATGGTTCTTAACTGGGGACCACATGGTGAATTTATACAATTTCTTCGCTCTCAAGAATTTACAAAAATAATAAACACTGTTAATTTATTACATTTTTTATTTACATTATTTATTTATTATATTGTTTATTGGAATGGTTAGCAAAACATCAGCTTAATTGCCAATTGATTCAAACTTTATAAAATGATAAACAATAAGGATTTCCATACAGTTGATTTACATATTTTAATAATTTAGTAAATTTTTATAAATTTATTAATAAAACATTGCTTTCATATTTATTTCTTTATAAATTGGTAAATCATAAATATTGCATTGCATTAGTTTTAATGAGTTTGTAGAATGTTTTAAATATAAAATTATTCTTGTAAATAAACAATCTAATAAATAAACAGTTTTTAATATTTTTGTTGTAAATTCTCAAGAACAAACAAAAATGTATAAATTCACTTTCATCATATGTTTAGGTTTTATTTTTATGATTATTATCACTTTTTAAAACAATAAACATTGCAAAGGAGTAAAGGTAGTTAAAATAATAATGGTGTCAAGGGAAAAATCATCCTTTGATACTCCATTTTTTTGTTGGCACAAAAACATTATTTAGCCACAAGTTTATGTTGTTGCATTCAAAACATGAATATCATGATCTGTCAGCAAGTTTATGAATTTAGATAGCATATATTGAAGGATTTTTTTCCCATGCATAATAGCCTCATGTGTCAGCTCATTGAGGACAGAGTATTAGCTGTTGTACACCTCTTGCCATTATTCCCCAAACATTTTCTATAGGATGAAGGCTTTGAAGACAGTTCACTTCATTACAGACAAAATTAATTAGTGAGACATGAAACAGTTGTATTTGCAAAACTGCAACTTACATTATTTACACTTTTTATATTCAGACTATTGTCCTTATCTTTGTTGTTTTTACCAGACTGTTTCAGTTGTCGTGCCCTCCAGCCTTCCTATATATGTGTATATAATCTACCAAGAATATAATGTGTATATATGTGTATATAATATACCAAGAATTCCTAAATGAACTCTTTATTTAATCTACAGGTGTAGTCTGTTCTCATTCCACTACTCATGTCTAGGGATATCACCCATTTCCTACATTATTTAGTACTGTTCAATTATTGCTCACCCATTTCCACTGAGTACAAGCACATACTGACCAGACCAGATTGAACTCACAACCACTATGTCACTAAATTAACAAAAATGCTTTTAGCCACTAGGCTATTCCTAGAGCAACCTTAATGCTCTAAACCTAACTTTGTTGCTGATTAGGCTGTCATGTTTTGATTGCTGCTGTGGTTGAAGACTTGCTGTTATTTGTCTTTCATTTTTTATTAATGGCCCCCATATATTTATTTCTATGCTAGGCATACAAAGGAGGTCCTCATAGCTTAGCACATGTACTGATTTTTTGCAACTCACATTTTTCCTTTCTCCTTTATATTTTGGTAGCTTTGGGGTCAAGCTGCATTCTAGCTTCTTTTGGTTGTTGAGTGCCCTCAAAGTTCCATTAACAATAACTATATAGTACAGTTTACAGACATCCTAGATCAATAATTGCTTTACCTCTAAACATATGAGCAACCATTTTTAATGTTTCTCATTGCAGATGATAATAAAAAGCTGCAGAAATCTGGCTCCCCAAAACTGAAATGCTTTCTGCAGATCAGTATACTCTTTGAGAATCTACTCACTGGCATCTAGCTTCTTTGCAGTATTTATACAAACTGGTTTTAATTCATACAAATACTGCATGTGTATTAATGACCAATATGTTGTGAATAGAATATTTTGGTATTTCCTGTAACTGATTTATTGTTTTTGTAATTTTCTGAACACTTTCTGGTATCTCTTCAATTTGCTATCTGCTGCTCATAAATCTCCATTTTCTTGCCTGCTTGTTTCTGTGCTTCACCTTAAGCACCAAGATACATAAAAAAATGTCAAATCACTATGATAAACCAAGATTTTTAAAAATTTATATGAAGGTAAATTTGCAGCATCCATAAATATCTCGGAGTACCATTGTCACCCAGTCTTGTTTCAAATAAGAATGACTTTTCTTTTGACACAAACAAGAAACATTTTAACTTTTCCAGAAACATTTCAGCATAAGAATTATAAAAAGCATAAAATTTGTTGGTATTTTTATACTTGCTGGACATTGAGAAATGAGTTTTATTTAGAAAATTGAACTCATTTGACTATTAATCATAGAATAAAATACTTTAGACATATATCTGTAATGTACATATATATATATATATACACTATAATCTCCCATTAGTATTTTTCCTGTTGTGGACATTATTATATCCGTAATATAATAACATTGTAATTTACAGACAGAATGGAATGGCTGATTTGGAAAATAATGACAAACACGCTTTGTTCTCAGAGAGACTTTTATACCATTAAGACATACACAAAACTATATATACATATATGAATGTGTCCCATGTGGAGAATAATATATCACATATACACAGCAAGCACAGTGTAAGGAGAAACAAAAAGGATTACTCTTACATACAATATGGACATAATCTTGTGTCTGAAGAAGTCATGTTTAGGACTCCAAATTCAAACAGGCCAGATTCATCTACTATCTCTCAGGCAAGGACATAGTGAGTCTTGGGTTTTCCCAAATTGAGGACTGTGAACTGGAGTTTCTTCTTATACCTGAGAATCTGGGAAAGATATATTAACAAAGGGAAATAGCACCATGGATTTGTAAGCAGTAGCATTTGGCAGCTGACTGCCTTGGGCAAGATAAACAAACATGTGTATCTTGACATCAATAAGCTTACTGACTGAATGACTGGCCACTTTTGTCACTGTATGAAGTGATGTCACTATGTGGCTGTCACATGATCCATGTGACTATCTTGACCAAAAGGAGATAATCGCCTTCTGTATATCTACAAACCTAATTCAACCAGAAATCAATAATTTTCACAATAGTTTTAGAATTTTTGGAGACCATTTATCATTTGAAAAGCTGACAAACAGTAAACTATGAGGAGATTTGGTTTGGTTTGGTTCGTTTAATGGCACATCAACCTCAATGGGTTATTTAATACCAACAAAATTTTTATTGCTGGTTATATTTTTTTCATTCAAAAATCTATTTCTGGTGTTTTTTTTTCTTCAAAAGTATATTGCTGGTAATTTTTTTTTTCAGAAATGTATTGCCGGTAATATATTTTTTTTCCCAAAAATGTGTTGCTGGTAATATATATTTTTTTCCAAACATGTATTTGCTGGTAATTTTTTTTTTTTTTTAAATGTATTGCTGGTAATATATTTTTTTCCAAAAATGTATTGCTGGTAATGTATTTTTTTTTTTCCAAAAATGTATTGCTGGTAATTTTTTTTTTGCAAAATTTATTGCTGGTAATAATTTTTATACAAAAAAGTATTTCTGGTATTAAAACCTATTTTTACACTTTTACACTTTTATAGTGTTTTGAGCCCAGTTTGGGGGTTAACTATTTGCCTATAGCTGGGACCCTAACAGGTGCTGCCACTCTGGGTCAGGGTAGACCTGTGAACACCAGCAATTAAGAGGTGGTTCCATGCTCCTCAAAACATCCTAATCAGAGGCATTGCTGTTGGACATAGTTTCTGGTCTTACCCAGGATGCAGATGTAGTTTATCGTAATAAAAACAATACCAAGACTAAGTATACAATGACAGAACACACTCATTGCTGTATGCACTCTCTGTGGTAAGTGCCAATATATAATCTAATCGTATACTGCTGGTATATGTCAAAACCTACAGGCAATTTGACTGTTGTCTTATACAACTTCTATGATACAGTTGAACCTAGCAATACTTCCATGGAAAGTGTTCAGACAAACTACATTCCAGGTCTAACCTTCATGGCAAGAAGTAAGTTCCACTCAAATAGCTTCTTCCTATGAGCCACTGCTCTGTAGAACAGACTTCCAAAAAGTTTCCCCAATCACTACAAACTTAGCCTGTTCAAGTCTAGAGTTAACCTTTATCTTCCCCTCCTATCCATATAAACTGCCTCTTAACATAACCCTCTATCCCAAGAAAACAACAACAATCTAGCTCTCCTGTATGTACAAATATCTCGAACAGCATTCACTGGATAATAATTCAATTTCAACTCTCACCACCCATACATTGTAATGAAAGGGATCATCTGCTGCCTCCAACATTAAGAAACAGTTATAAGTAATAAACATATAAACAAGAAATAGTCAGTATAAGCAGTACCCTGCTATGTAACAACTACCCTGAATAGAAAAATTATGCAAGGCTGACCCTATATGGAGGGAAAAAAGAAGATCACTACCCACTGTGGGGTGAGGATAAAATAATAACCAGAAAACATCACTGGAAAATACAAAAAATTAAAGAATCAGCACATATTCTAGGCTACAAAAATCTCCTAAGCCAGTCAAGCATAGTCATGAATACAATATGGGAAACAGTAATACAGAATGCTGGAGAAAAATATTAATAACAACAAATTGTAATGTGAGCTCTGGTAAAAAAAATGGTTACTGAGACATTAGGTTGAAAATCCCAAAGTTCATACACTCAAGGACACATGGCCCAGTGGATAAAAGCGTTGAAGAATTCTAGTGAGTTGTGAGTTCAATACCTGGCTACAGCAGAAATTAACAAAAATCTTGGAGAGTTGAGTTAAAGAGAAATAATTGAGATTGAGATATCTGGAAAAGGCATGGCATGTGGAACTAGAACAAGCTACTCCTGTGGACATAATAAATGCTTCAGTTTGCAATTTCAGTCATCTGAAAAAGGCCAGAGTGTACAACAACCGAAATGTTCTGAATATAGCAACAAAGATGAGAACAAATATCTGAACAATTTAAATAAAAAACTCAGTTATTGAGTACCTCCATTATTGTACAATTCGGTCATTCACTTTTTTGCCAAAAATGTTTAGAAAATTGTACATCTTCATGCTTATCCAGCAAAGAAAAGTTCTCGCACAATATCACATGTATGTATGTCTCAGTCTGCCTTTTTCTCTCCCTATATGAGTATCTACTCTAGCATCAGTGTGAAAATTTCCATTTTAAATAGTTTTTTTGTTTAGTTTTTTTATTTAGTTTTGCTGTTAAATAAGTCACCATTGGTCTAAAGAAAGTTCCAAGTGTGTCTTTTGGAAATCACTGGGTTTGGATGTGAGTGACCATGATGTGTGGGAGTTGATGAAAGACCACAGAGAAGAACTAACCACTGAAGAACCCCAAGATATTCAGCTGGCACAGCAACAAACAGCAGCTGAGGAAATAGCTTCAAAGGAGGAGAAGAGGAGTGGGGAGAATGGGCTCTTCTCTGTGATAAAGAATATTTGTTCAAAATGGAGTGAGGTGCAAAGTTTTCATGAAAAATATCACCCTAACAAAGGTGTTGCAAGCCATGTTGTAAACATGTTTAATGACAATGCCTTGACACATTTTAGGCAAATTTTAAAATGGATACAAAAACAAATGTCTCTAGAAAAGGGATATAACCCCTGAAAAAAACTTTATAGAGGGAGATTTCTCTTCCAAACAATAATACCTCTACTCCCTTACCTCCTCAGCATCATACATATACCAACAAGAGTCTTCAATAAAGGTAAAGTCAAGTTAAATATTGATTTATTCTATTTATTTGTCATCTATACTTGTTTCTTATTGTTTTCTGCATTTAAAGCTATAGTTATTCTCTATAAAACTTTTTTTTTATAATATTTTGTAGTGTGTAGAACAAATCACTTAGATTTACATTTTTTCTTATGGAAATATTATCTTGGTTTTTGTTCATTTCAGTTTTTGGTTGACTTTCTGGAACAGAATATTGCTAATAACTGAGGTTCCACTGTATGTAAATCTATGACCCATGCATGTAATTTTATTTTTAATTCAATTGGAAAGATCCAAATATTATTGTAAATAAAGATGCTTGTTAAAAACAAAACAAAATTACTTACTTCTTGTGTTTTTCATTCCCTGAAAAATAATTCAAATTGACATTACAAGATATCATATAATAAAAAATGCATGAATCAAGAATGGAAAAAGAAATAATTTTCTATTTGCATATTTGAATAAAAATATAGCTATGATTAAATAAATGAATATAGATTTTTAAATATAAAAACCACTTATAATAGAGTTTATGATGTTATATTGTTGCATTTACCATGATTCTCCCAGAATTGAATTGCAAGTTTTAAGCTGAAGGCGATATTATGATTTCTGCTTTTATGCATGAGAAAGTAAAGTGCAAGATTTTGAGTTGAAGTTGAGATCAATATTTGTAAATATAAACAATGTACATTTTCCAGTATCTTTAGAAATGGATTTTCACTTGAAGTCTAGGGTGAAGAGTCCCAATAGGCATTCAAGGAAAGGAACCTCCCTGAGAGAACAATCATTCATCATTAAAGGCAAAATTCAGGGTCTGTTCAGTGATTATGAAACATTACTTGTTTGGTTTTTGAGGTAATAAGAATGTTAAAAGTCAGTTATTCCCATATTGAGCAGTTAGAGTTTGGTCAGAGGAGAGATCAGCTGCCAAGCTCTTGTGATCTAGATTTTTGGAGGAGTATCATTCTCTATTGTATCCTCTTCATAGATATTTACTAAAGATCTAAGTATGTTCCTAGGCATATTATTAAATTAATGCAGAAAGTGGATAAAACCAAAAAGAGAGCATTGAGGAATGCTTGAATTGATTTAATGAGCTTATGAATACAAACCATTAAAAATGGTCTTCGTGGACCTACTTGATGAGAAGGACTTAATAAGTGAGAAAATATTTCTTGAAATTCCATAACTAGAGAATTTGTGTAGCAACCTCCTATGCCATACCTAGTCAAAGGCCTTTGATCTATTAAAAGCAATCACCCCCATGATGAATTTATTGTCTACTGTCTCACTGATTCATCAGCAGTGAGACTAGAAAAATGAAATCAATATGGTTTGTTGCTCAGAAAGTTGTTCTGTTGATATTATTTATATTTATGATATTATATATGTATTCTTCTGTAGGATGCAATATAGTTTATTAATTCCTATATACATATTTTTTCAACCAATAAAATCCAATCAGAAAGATTTGTTTGTAAACAACTAATATCACTAAAATACTTGTGAATGTAGTTGTAGACATATCATGCATTATTTTTGGACCAATTAGAAAATAATGATGATAACTTCTTTCACAAATGCTGCAAATTTAAGCAAAAGATTTTTGTGAGGCAGTGTGAAATTATTTTCTAACTAATGAAAACCTTGTATTCATAAAGTTCACAAACTATGTGAAATTAGATTTTGGATCTCTCTTATGGATATGAAAATAAAAGCCTACTGCTAATCAGGGTTCAAAAAAATTTTGTAGGGCAGTTTGATCTACATGTGTATATACATGCACATACCCCAACACATATACACAATGGAAGAGATGACAGCCAGCAGCCACCAATAAGGCATTGTCCCCACAAAATAGAAGGGAATAACCAGCAGCTGCCAATTAAGACCTTGTCAACAAACTCACAAACACATTTCACACTGCACAAAGAGCACTTAATTACTTTATAAAACAAACTTCACTACAAGGAAAATTAAATATTTTACTGCTATTGTATATTTCTGATAAGAATCTATAAATGTTATTTCAACTGACATTCTGCTTCTACTTTTCCTCTAGAAAATAACCTCTCTTATATTTCATTTATAAGATGTGATGTTGTTGTTAAATGTTTAGAATCCTGACACTCAGATAACAAGCTTGGTAGATGGATCCAAACAAACTACTGGATATGGATTATTAATTTTACCATTATTCATTTTATCATGAAAAAAGTGTTAGGTTTTGGTTAATGAAAGTTTACAGGTTGATGTTTATATTCATTGTCAATATTTTGCCTGTATTTACCATTCAAAATAGTCACCCTATGCTTTCACCATAGCGCTCTTAGTCTCTTCTGTAACTAAAGTGCTTGCCTTGCTCACCACCACTTCACTCAAATTATGCTTTAACATTACTGTTTTCAGGTGAAATGGTGTAAACCCTCTTGTATTTTGTAGTTGACCACAGCCTCCACAGTGAAACAAATTCTTATCCAACCAACCAAAAGCTTTGTCTGCATTATACTGCATCTCCTTCAATATTTTCTTTCAGCTGTTAAGCTGTTTCTGCTTAGAGCAACTGCTGTCATTGACTCTTGTTGGGTTTTATTCCTAAACCTTCTTTCACAATCTTCCTTAGTAACCTATTAAAAAATATCCAGCTCTTTTTCCATGCTTTTTTTGTGAATTTCTCTTCACCCTCTTCTCAATGCTTTCAATGACTCTCCTGGTATCAACTGACTAATTTCTGCTGAAATTGAATTTGGTGAAGTTGTTTGATCCTCTTGAAACTTTTTCACACATAAAAAATATTTTTCTGCAAATATTAAACAGCTTTATCACTTCACACTTCTTCATACCAGCCATTTTCAATGAGATAATTTGATGATGTTTTGTTTGAGCTACTATGTTTAATCAAAGAGTCAATAATAAAATAATGTTAGGAAGTCTTGTGCAAAATTTGAAGGTATTTTTATGAATATATGTTTATGTAATTATGTTTACATTTATATTTAAATGATGGGTATATATTTATGCCACACCCAGTACTGTTGACTACAATCATTTAATTTTGTGTCTTTATCTGTGAATAATTTTTGAGTCTTTATCTATGAGATAAAATGTGTATTGTTTTGAGATTCAATTGACATTGTGGATATAGCTTTTATTTGTGTTATACAAGGTTTTAAACTGTACTTAATTTTGATCTTTCAGTTTTCATTTGTGTATTTATATGTAAGATTTAAAGTATAATATTTTCAGCTGTAATATTTTTACTCTTTATATATCTGATGTTGTATTATGTGCAACTGGTTTTTATAATTTTCCTTTTATTTGTGTATTTATGATTACTAGCAGTGGCTAGTGGCCATAAAAATTTCAAGGTTTTTTATTTGACTTTTCAGATGAATCATAATGCTTAATTTCTTCTTATTCTATTTGCCATGTCCATTCTGGATTTTGATGATCATGTTTCTCTACAATTTCCTGTATTTTGTAGCTCTTATTTAATTTTGTCTGTTTGCTCTTCTCTCTCTCTCTCTCTCTCCTAAAATCTGATCTGTCATCCATTCACTCAATATTACCTGGTAGGTTATGCATTTATTTGCTCTTTTACCTTCAATCTAGCCTGTGAGTATCAAACTCTCCAAGCTGTCTTTCCTCATTATGCACCGCAGAAATTTCAACTGTCTCTTCCTAATGTTAAGTATAAGTATCCTTTCTGTTTCCATTGTCTCTAAAATTTTGATTACAAATTTGGTTCATGGTTTTTTAGCACCTTCTGTAAAACCTCATTTCTGTTGTTTCAAGTCTCTTCTTCATCTGTGAGGAAATTGTCAAGCATTCACTGCTATATAAGAGAACTGGTAGCACATCAAATAACAGTTCAGTACTCTTTTCTTTGCTTCTAACAATTTTTCTGTTTCTAACAGTTTTTCTGTTTCTTAATACTTTGCTCAGCTTTTGAAAGGCTTCTTCCACTATCCAATGAACCTTTAAATTTCAGTGTCGCATTTTCCTTTCACTGTTAAAATGCTTTCTAGATATTTAAGTTGTTGTACTTGTTTGATTTTGGTATCTTCAATTTGTAATTTGTATGTTGGGGTAACCACAATATATTATAGCTTATTCCAGTTGATGTTTATTCTTTTCTTCCCCCTTTCCTTTATCACATTCTGTAGCAATTCTTGTAGTTTCCTTTCCATATTTGTTATCAACAATGAATCATCTGCATTTCTTAAGATTGTAGTTGCCAATAAAGAATCCTGGTAGGACTTCTAATTCTCTCAGTATAGCCTCGTTGTAGAGGTTGAAAAGGTCTGGTAAGAAAACACATCCTTGTCTTAAACCTTCTTTAATTTTTTGTATATTTATTTAACTCATTGTTTTGCTGACAGTATAGGTTCTGAATAGGTTTTGGATTATTCTAATATCCTTCAGGTCATTATTTAAAGAAAAGGGTACAAATGAAAAGATTCAGAATTGACAATGTTTTCCATTTCACTGCAGCAGATGTCAAATAAATTATCATCTCCTCTACCCCTTTTTTTTAAAATAAAAATCACCCAAAGCAAAGGCAGTAAAGCCACTAAGACACAAGGGGTTGTTGGGTGGGAAAGAATTAGAAAACAGAAACATTATTAAGGAGCAAGAATAACAGAAGAGTAACCAGGAAGACAGTAGATAATGATTGACATTGCATTTAGATTTTTGAAGATCAAAGTTGGCTGGAGAGGGTATAGTGCACATGCTAACTATCATGCTAACAGAAGAACAAGCAGAATCATAATATGATGTGTAAAAACTTGAGCCTCAGATGGAAATGATCTTTATATGTTTTATATATTCCTGATTCTGATATAATGTGTAATGTTTTAATCTAACATGTTTTTGTTGTTCATTTAGTATTCTTGATTATCAAACAATTCAAAAGAACTTTAGCTACAGATGACATTGATCTTGTTTTTATTTGTTAATTCCTTCTTAACATTTAATGAGCTGCAGATGAGAGTAACATTTTTGGCTACTGCACTAACATTCTAACCACTTGACCATTAAGTAAATGGGCATTTATGTTTGTTGTGTTGTAAAATGGAAAAAGTAGATACATATAGAAAGTAAGAAGTAGTTCATTCCAGAGAATAATATGGTTCATGGTTGAGAAGACTGACTAATGTAATAAGCAGTTAATTGTTAACTCCTAAGAATTTACCTGAGATCTCCCCACAAGGCAGGATTGAGACAAGGCCATTTTTATGTGGGACATTCAGAGCCTGTAGGGTTGGATAGCTGCCCACCTCCCCAGATGAGGCTATGCCGAAGGGCAGAGTCTCATCTGGGTTCCTCTCTGCTCAGAGACAGAGAGTCGACAAGCAGAGCTAACTGTAATTGTTAACTCCTTTCTCTCAGTAAGATAGAGTGCTGTTTAAATAGTCTTAGACCAGACCATTTTGTGGGGGTGTTCAGCTACTCCACAACAATGTTCTATGGAAACATTGCTGAGTGGTAAAAATGTTCACTTTTAGACCATGAGAACTAGGTTTGAAACTTACCATGGTTGATTTGTTAAGAAGGTGACTTTGATGTTATCTGCATAAGGAAATGATCCAAGTGTGCAGTACCTTTGCCTGAACATCATACTATGGGTTGACGCAAACCATTTGAATGGAATTGTATCGATGGAACTATGAGATATGTTAAAAAAGTATCAGGACTGATGGTATGGTAATGGAGCTAAAGTACACAGAATGAAGACACTTAGCACCAATTGACTGTGAACTCTTTCATGCATACATACTAAATTATAACATTTTTGCTCACTTAGGTTGTTTATAGCTGTGCTTGGAAAGAAAGTGCATAGAGTGTGGTTGTCTCACCATACCACAGAACTTCTATTAGTAATCATTGCTTGTGCAGCAGTTTTTGGCCAAGAATACTATTCCACATTCAAAACCCACCAACATATTCCAAAATATTGCCCCTTGCAACTTTTTCCTCTTCAAAAGTCAAATCCTATCTTGTTGTAGATGTTTAAATGCCAGTGTCATTCTTTGAATTTTATTTTATTTATTAATAGTTTTTTTCTTGTTTCTCATTTAAACTTTAATTTGCTTCCTTAAACTCTCTCTCTCTCTCTCTCTCTCTATATATATATATATATATATATATATATATATATATATGTGTGTGTGTGTGTGTGTGTGTGCAGGTATGTAGAAGGAATCATATTTTTTAAAAATAATTATATATATATATATATATATATATATGGATACTATTTGTAATTTTGCAATTATATGTGGATGACTTGCTAAGACTAGAAAATGACTTGCTGACTAGAGAATGACTACAAATTCCTTAGAAGAAGGCAAAAAAAATTGATGAGGAAGAAAACAAGAGGTTGACTAATCCACCTACCCTTCAACCTGGTACCACTAATACCTAGTTAATGATTTTAGTTCCTTCATGCATAGCCACCCATCCTATCTCAAGTCAAAGTGCTGGCCAAGGAAAGCTGATAGCAGCCATAATTTTTCTCCAAACACTATTGATAATAAGTTCATCTGTGATTCAATATTGGAGGGAAGCATTAGTAGAGCCTATATGTAAATTACCTTGCCTTGTGCCATCTTGTTGTAGATGTTTAAATGGCTGTCATTCTTTGAATTTTATTTTATTTGTTAATTTTTTTTGTTGCTCTAGACTGATGTTTGTACCTATCCTTCATTTTGTCATGTGTATGCTTCTCTCTATTGCTATTAATTATCAAAATTCAACCACAACTTGTTTCATTTTGAATGTGTTTACATTAAAGCATTGTTTATCAATGCTGAAAAATTGATGTGACAAGAGTGCATTAAGTTTTACCACCCCATTTTTAGTTGGTAGTAAACACCAGAACTTAGTTGTAACTTAACATGAATTTTTTTATATTTCATATACTGCCCTCTTGGTAAGTCAGACCACTCCATGGTAAATACTGATATCTCCTACCAAGCATCCATTAAACAGGAACCCCCTATCCACATGTGCCAAAACCTGGGAATTAATTTTAAATCAAATTTGGGGGTCTGCCATCATCTGTCAATCGCTGAAATAGCTTGTGTTTGTCTTGTCTCGTTTTTGCATGCCCACACGTTGAGAGTGTTCCTTTTGACTGAGAAAAACTGGTGTTATATAGCTCTCCCAGTCCTACACCCACACTGACTACTGGCTAATACCTGCCAGTATTGTTCATATGCAAATAGGCAGCACCACCTTGTCTAAGTACAAGGTCTTCTCTCAACAGCCCATTGTGGAAGGGAATACAACTGCTGGTGCTTACACCACATATAACCAATTCAGAGTTTTTTATTGAGCTGATCAAATTCTCTGTTACACCATAAAACATCATTCCATTACCAGCACACTGATTGGGACTCATTCTGGGATTTTCTTTGTGACACCACTGGGACTGATATCTTCAACCTTCCAAATGAAAATTGTACCACAAAATTTTCTTCTTGGGCCAAAGCTGGCATGGATGCTTTCATCCCTTCTTGGAAATGCCAAGTGAAACTGCAATCATCTACATGGTTCACACCAGCATGCTTGGCCTCTATAGCACACAAGAACCACTATTTCTGGCTATACCAGCATGACAACTCTCATCATAATAGGTGCCTATTTGCTACTGATCATAACAATTGTAAACAAGTCCTCAAATGGGCTAAGTCCCTTGACTCTTTGATGAGAGAATGAGGCAATGCATAGCCTCTAAGATCTTTGGATTTTGTGATTACTGGCATCTCTGTAATAGGGTATTAAATAAATGCAAGGTCTCTAATCTGCACTTCTTCAATTGATTTGAGGTTTCATTGTCCTCTGCTGATAAAGCTGAATGCTTTGCTTGTAAATTCTCCTCAGACTCTACTCTTGACTCATCTAGAGTATCCCTGTCTAACTTCCCATTTAAAACTGTTTTCTGTTCAGTGATATGCATATAACTGCTTCCATTCTCTCATCTCTAACCTTGATCCCCACAAAGTATGTAAACCCAATGATATCCCTGTAATAGTCATTAAGGTGGATGTTCCCTAACTGATTTTGAACTGTATAATAAATGCCCCACTGCCTCCTGCTTTCCTGCTTGCTGGAAGTCAACAGTTTTTAAGCACTATGGTGAACCATTCAACCAATTTAACTGATCAGTGCTGAATTAGTTTGTCATCTCTCATAGACAAGCAATATGGTTATCATTTCTCCAGATCAACTGCTGATATACTAATGATAATTGCAAATAGATTACTCTAGATAAAAATGGTAAAGCCTGGGCAGTAGCTTTGAACATTTTCAAAGCCTTTGACATGGTCTGGCATTCAGGTCTTCTCCATAAGCTGAAAAGTTATGGTATCATGGCACATTTTTGAGATGATCCAATTGTTCCTATCAAATTGTGAAATGAAAGTTGTCCTGAATAGCCACTCATCTACATCCTTTCCTGCTAAAAATGGTGCTGCCAGGGCTTCATCCTTGGTCCAATAACCTTCCTGATAACAGCAGCTCTCAACTTGAAATTTACGCTGATGACACACCCATTTACTCCTGCCTCAATACTAAGGCTGATCAGTCCGACAAGGTCAAAATGGCAGCTGATGTACAAAATGACTTCAAAACTGTTATTAACTAGGGCAAAAGATGGCATGTCAATTTTAACTCCTTCAAAACTAAACCTCTTTCAATTAATCATCTGAGAGACCCATCTCTGCCTTCCATCAGCATGGATGATGCTAGCCTCTAGGAAAATGACTCATTGTATCTTCTCAGGCTAACGTTCTCGGCTGACATGAAATAGAAAGACTATATTGAATCCATTGCTAGGTCAGCTGCTTTATCTTTGCACTTTACCTGGAGCTCCTTGATAAGATCCAAAGAAGAATCAGTAGTATGATTGGTCCTGATAAGGTGGCTCAGCTTCAGTCACTTGCCCACCACAATAAGGTTGTCTCTCTGTGCCTTTTTTTATAAGTACTTTCATCTTAACTGTTTGAGTGAGCTCCTTGCTACCTAGACTGTATGAATTTGAAGCAAAATACTAGACTGGCAGCAAGATCGCATCAGTTTAAAATTGAGCTAGCTAGATGTAGCTGTAACTTCTATTCTAACGGTTTGTTTTCTCACACTTTTCACTTGTGGAACTCCCTTCCAGCTCTATGTTTTCCAGCCAACTTAAATCAGCAAGAATTTAAATGCAATGCCAATCGCTATCTACTGTAGTCCTGATTACTCTTTTCTCTTTCTACTCATTACTACTGTTTCTGTTCCTAATTCCTCTACATCCTGTAACCCCTTGCATGTTAGTGGCTGTACTACCTTGTTTGGAGTGATACTGATTAAAAAAAAAGAAACAAACAAAATTTTATGAGATCATGCATATCCAAGAGAATTCACAAGGCAGCTGCTTACTATTCCCAAAAAGATTTCCAGGAATGCTTCCATCAATGAAAATGATGTTGGATAAAATGTATAGATTTAGAAGGGGACTACTTTAAAAGAGATTAAATGATGAATTAATATGTGTTGAAATTTTCTTTTTATAGCACCAGTCCCGATACATTTCATTGATTAGATGTCATATTTGGGATTATTGATGGCTGTGCTAGCATGAAATCACAAGTCATCATGACTGAAGGTTTTAGTGTTCTGGTCTTGCTCAGACTGTTGTTCATACCACATAATATGCTCTAACCCCAAAACTGTAACTAATATTTGTTCAGCATAATTGCAGTATAAACCACAGGTTGGCTTTGAGGGTTTTGAACAAACACAAATATGTTTCAACAGGTGTCTGCAACAGGTATTGGCTAACTAGGAACACTCAAATATATAAATAAATATTTATGTTCTATATCAGATATCTCCTGAAAGGGTATCAAAAATTTAGCTAAAGCTTGTAGATATAAACAGAATCTCATTTCATTGAAAATAGAAAAAGTTAACTTACTTTCACTTACTGCAGATATTATACCCACAATTGAAAACACGATCACAACGATAAGGAATTTCGATCCTAAAACTGCAGCTAGAATAATTATTAAAGGAGTCTTTGAATCTGGAAGAAACAAAAGTAAACATTGTAACTTGTTATAATAAATTGTTATAATAAAGTTACATTCATAAAAAATAATTACCAATCTTTTCCTTCTTGTAAGTCTTTGGAATAATAATAATAATAATAATAATAATAAATTCCTGGAAATCCATGCCTAAATTCCTGGAAAACCATGCCTCAAGTCCTGGAAATCCATGCCTCAAGGAGATACAAAAAATTGTTCTGACAAGTACAGCCCATACCTTATGAAGGGCTTTATCTATGTAATTTTGTTTTGTTTTTTTTTTCAGTGGAGAGTGTCATGTTGCCATTTCTAACCTTAGGTCCCTGGGCGGGACCTGGAAAGAAATGTGTAAATGCCAGAAATCAAAGAAAATAAAAGTAATAATAATAATAGAAAATTATGGCATGAAAGTAAATGCAAACAATGACTGTAAATTCTTGGTTTTCATTCTCTCAGTTACTTGTGTGTAATTATTTTCAACTAAACAACTCAAAGATGAAATATTGCAATTCAGTCACTTTTCTATTGCAATTTCCATGGCAAAAGTTCCAACTAGCCATATTTCTTAATTACACAAGTCCTGACCTTTGCAACTAATAACTGCCATGTCACTTGCAGTAGAATGAATCAATCCCATTCCCTTCATATGATTTTAGTGAAAATGAAGTTCTATACAGACAGCTTCTTCTGAAGAAGTGCTTACTTTAGGAAACATTACAATCTTAATCTCTGCAAGTCTAGAGTTAATCATTGTCTTTCTTACATATCCTCATAAACTGCAGTTCTTACTTCCTCTCATGCATCAATCTCATTCAGTAACCCTCTATCTGAGTGGATCTTGGGCCTCATATTTGGTGAACAATTAGTAAAAAAAGAATTATTCCTTCTTCAATCATCCACTTAAACAAACTAAGGTGTTGAATTAACTTTCCTTCCACTTTCTTGGCTGGTCATTTAACTCCTAATGACCAATCAGTAATGTTTATTTTGCACAAAAAACAAACTTTTTTTTATTTTTTAATTGAATTTGCCCTACAAAAGGCAGTAAAGCCACTATAACACAAAGACTTACTGGGTGTAAAAGAATTAGGAAACAGAAAGATTATTAAAGAGTGAGAACAACAGAAGTGTAATCATGAAGACAGCTGATATTGCATTTAAATTTTTGAAGATTAAACTTGACTTGAAAGCAAAAAGCTGGAAGAGAGTTCCACAAGCGAGAAGTACAAGAAAGAAACTGTTAGAATAGAACTTATAGTTACATCTAGCCAGTTCAAGTGTAAGTTGATGAGACAGTGTTGCCAATCTAGTACTGCACTTAAATTCATAAAGTCTAGGTACCATAGCAAAGACCTCATTGACCATGAAAGTATTTATAGAAAAGACCCATGGAGGCAACTTTATGGTGGTCAGAAAGTTACTGAACCCAAGATGCTAGCTCAGGACCAATAATATTGCAGATTCTTCTTTGGATTTTATCAAGAATCTCTAAATATTCAATGTACAATATGTAGCAGTAATATTTTAATCATGGACAAATTGTAGACTTATAGATATGTAAAATAGATTCTGGAGAGAAAAATTATCTAGCATGACACAGTGAACCAACTTTCTTAGCAGCTGACCTCGCAATGGATTCAATATAGTCTTTCCAATTCATGTCAGCTGAGAACATTAACCCAGGAAGGTGCAATCAGTCACTTTCCTGGATGCTATCATCAGCCATGCTGATGAAAGGCAGAAAGTAATCTCTCAGATGATTAATAGAGAGCAGTTTTGTTTTGGAAGCATTAAAATTAACAAGCTATTCTTTGCCCCAGTTAACAAAAGACTGTAATTCATTTTTGAGATCAGCCACCAATTTGACCTTATCAATCTGATCAGACTTACTATCAAGACAGTTACTGCAAAGGGAAGTTGCTTGCCTAAAACATGGATAAAAACACACTCCTATAATATGTCATGCTATATTGTGATTTTTCAAGCATTGCTTAGATGTGGCGCAAGGCCTTAAAGTAGGGGGAACACAGTGAGGATCGAACTCACTACTCAGTCATAATTGTTCTAGCAAGACAAGCTTGCTGACCATTACACCGCTTCAGGGTGCTTATATGACATGTTATATTAGTGAATAAATATTTGTAACATCCACTTTTCAAAGTCAGAGAAAAGGCATATAACATTTCTCTGATTTGTTACCATGTTCTAACATAAGTTTTATATAATATAAAACCTGTATTAATTTTCTCTCAAGTTTTCACTAGCCATTTTCATTTTAATGTTTGGGTAAAAATCTGTACTTATAAAAAGAATTTCTGAGACCACCCATGTATATTTACCCAACAAAAAACATTTCTGTTCTCTTTCTTTTAGTCAAGATCTTTTGTCATACAAAACTTTTATCTCACTCGTGTTGCTCTGACTGAGTGACAAAATGAGAAAAGCTTTATTTAGTGTGGTGTGATTAAAGTGTAAATGGACATGACAATGCAGAAAGTCCTGAAAGCCATCTCTAATAGATCATCCTTGAGGACATTGTTTTTTCTGTCTTTAGGTCTCCCCAACAACAATTGAAACAGTCAAGGCACTGATGATGATGATGATGATGATGATGATGATGATGATGATGATTTGCACTGTGTGTACTTGCTGTGGGTTCTCTTGTGTGTGCTCCTGTTTATGGTTGCTGTGACTACTTTTACATGTGTTTGTTGTGAGTTGCCCAAGTGGCTTACATAAAAACAGAAAATATTAAATGTAATATAATATCTGTAATGGTGTACAGAAGAATCACTTAATATTTGTTGAGAGTAAAATTCATAAGTCATCAGTAATATTTATTTAGACATTTTAAAACAATTTTTACAAACTAATTTTTGAAATGACTTTTAACTGGATCAGAAATATATACCACTTTTGTATTTGGTAGAAGTTTTCATACTGACCTAAAATCAATTTAAAAGTCCTTTGGCCAACTGGATTGATAACTTTTAAATAATAAGCCTGGGTTCCATTTACGTCAATATACAATTCCAAGATGCTGCACTTGCCAGAAAAAGGAAATAATCCATCTTCTGCAGGAACGTAAAAAACTTGACGAGCTGGCATTATTTTATTCCCTTTGTACCATATCACTTGAGTAGCTTCAGGATAGCAATAAAAACAGATTTTCAAATTAACTGTAGTTTTATGCAGGGCATATTTTTTTTTATCACCTTTGAAATGTGCTGCAACTGCAAAAGAGAAATATTTACAATTTAAAATATATTATAATACAGGAAAATACTATTATAATACAGAAAAAATATTACAACGTTCATGTATTAGTTTAAATCATGAATAATTTCCATTTTTGTTTATGTTGTGGATTCCAGGATGAAATCCAGTCTCAAATGAATGACAAACGCAGGAATGAAATATAGTAAATAAATGTATTGACGTAATAATACAATTGGTAATACGGTTAGTAGATCCAGAAATGCAGTTAGTAGCAATAATAATATATATACAGTCTGGGAAATTCCGTATCAAAGTATGACTTCCTTCTGAGTCTACATGCTCGCAACTGTGACTCCTACAAGGTGGTTACCTCACACTCTCACTCTCTCACTCTCACCTCCGGGTATTCACCAGCAGCAGTACAAGTACACACTAGGCGAGTCCACTTGTATAAAAAGGGGTGGACCCCTTAACAGTTTATCAAATTTATTCTGCAAAAAATAAAGTACAATTGAATTTTATTCAATTGTGGAAAGAGTCGATCAAGCTTTAGATATGAATGTTGAAACTCAGACTGTTGCTTTGGATATCTCAAAAGCTTTTGACAGAGTTTGGCATACAGGACTTCTTCAAATGTTGAAAAGTTATGGTGTCTCCAAACAATTTTTGAACTGATCTAGCCCTTCTTATCAAATCATGAAATGAAAATTATCTTGAATGGTCACTCTTCTATATCCTTTGTACTAATGCAGGTGACCTATCAGGGCTTTATCCATGGTCATACTTTGTTTTTAATTTTCATTATCAACCTTCCC